ACCAGAATGAATTATTTAAAACTGGTGGGAAGATGGTGTTAGACTTTTATACTCAGTCTGATGATTTAAAACAAAAAGTCAATCTGTTCACCAGATTGCCTACTTAAAAAGAACTGTTATATTTATAGTTCTTCATTGTGTCATAAAGGCAGAAAGTAAATAAATAAGATGTGGGGAACAAGCCAGTGACAATCTCTAACAGGAAATAAACAGGTGGGATCATGTGCTTTCAGAACAGACCCAGAAGTCATGGGTGGGAGAGATTCTGAGTCAGATACGAACGGTAGACTTTCTGCCTCTGCGAACTAGACTTTCAAAAGGAACTCAGACCACTGAACCCAGTTCCAAATACTTGATGTCTGATTCCAAGACTCAGTAAACTCTGGCCACAATCACCTGCAAACACTTCAAAGGAGGGGGAATTTTACTGGTGATTTCATATCCTTTAATAAATCACTCATTAATTTACTTCCTAAATAAAATCTCATTGGAAAAGTCAAAGCACAGAATACTCTGCTTTCAAAAGAGGGGTAGCCTCTGTCTCCCTGTGACCATAGGGCCACTAGCTGGCTGTTCTTTCCTCTGCAACTCCATGCAATTTTCTGGTAAACAAACTCAAGGTAAAAACAAGTGGAGATCTATGAAAGGAGCTTAATGACCATAATTATACACATTTTACACAATTTCAGCCAAATCTGAAAGAGCACTGAAAGCTTCCCTGCAGCTTCCAAACTGATTGAACAGCATCTCTTGCTTCCCCAGCTGTTCTCTTTTCCCATAAAGTATCAACACATAAGCCTCCTCTTCCTGTTTCCAGGGAACAATGCTAAAACAGTACCACTGAACTATATACTGGAAAACAGTACCATTGGTAAATTTTGTATGTATTTTACCACAATAAAAATTAGGAAAAAAGTAGGTTATAACTGTATTTGGTACTGCAAAAAATGATTGATGGATGCACAATCTAATAAGATAAAATGTAATCAAATAACAACAGCATGTGCTAGATTCTTTATATGGCCTGTAGAAAGCACTATGGTAGCCCTGGGATACAGCTGAGGGTGTGATCAAGCACTGTTTCCTGTGGAACAGAAATATGATCTGGGAAGGAGTAGAGGTGTATTTTATAGCTTTATGGAAGAGTTTGACAACTGAGCTGTGCCTAGAAGGTGAGTAAACACTTGGAATGGTAACTGAGGATTCTAGGTAGGAGAACAGATGTAGTAGAAAGATAAGACTTTGGTTAGAGACTAATAACTTAAAGAATGTACTGTGCTTTTCTCCAGGTGTCTCTGCTTGTTTCTCTTGAGGAAAGTTCTGTCTGGTTGGAATACAGAGCCAATGAAGAAGACGGTAGATGATACCCATGAGGTAGGTGTGTTGAGGTACCCTATCCACTATGATAAATCTGGGATTTCTTTCTAAAGCAATGGTCTGAGAAAAAAAAAAGTGGTTTTCAGAGCTACTTGTGGAGTTTTGGAAAAATACATTTGCCTATAATCTCACAGGAGATGTGGTTTAGTAGGTCCAGTTTGAAGCCTGGGCTTACATATGTAGCTGAACCTCCACAGGTGATTCACATTTACTTCCTGAATTGCTATCATAGGTTATGAGACAACACTAGAAATTTTACAGTGGTACCTCAATACTGGTGTTTGTTTCTGTGAGATGCAATGAGTGCCAAAAATATGATTACCAAATAAATTATTCTGGCTAGAAAGGATAATAGGTCAAGAGGCAACTGACACTGGCAAGTTCTAGCTTGAGTGACCAGCACCATTAATGATGAATATCAGGACAAAGTCTTCATATCAAAATGCACTGAGTAACAAATTCAACATTTCAGAGTAATTGAGTATCAAGCTACAATTGTTTTAAAAAGAAAGGAAAGAAAGATACAAAGTTTCAAAATGGTACTCAGAAGTCAGTAACAATAAGAGTAAAGAAGAGGAACGGATCTGAGAGGTATTCAGAAAGTCAAAATGACTGGATCTGATGAATAATGAGATGTGATGAGTGAAAAGAAGAAATCAAATTTGTTCAGAAAACTGGATGATGATGTAACCCCCAAGACAGTAAATGGTGGCCAAAGCACTGAGCACAACGTCTGGAAACTTATCGAAGAGTAGGTGCTCAACAGATTCTTGCTGAATAACGTTAAAAAAAAACTATCAAGCAATTATCATACAATTGTGAGTGAAAACAATAAGTGATTATATATTGATTAATAGTATGAGTTTTGTTGGTTTGCAACAAATTTAGATGTCTGGGAATAAGTGGAGTAGGAGATTGTAGAATAATATATGCAAAGCTGAGGGTGGCATTAAAGAAAAAAAATCACAAAATTTGTAAAATTTGTTCTGGGTTCCAGAAACAACAAATGTTTCAGTTTGCCTCTAGAGCAGTGAGAAACGAAGCTGTGAAGATGTAGCGTCACCATAATGGAGAGTTTCTGAATGTTGGAGCTAAGAAAATTTTAATTAATTCAGGGTGAAATGTAAAGTAATGAGTGAGTTTCAGGCAGTGATCATCCATGATCTTCACTGGGTTCTTTTTGAAGAACCTTTAAACAGCAATGGGATAAGATGGATCGGTATAGAAAGCAATTTTAAGTGAAGATCATTTAGAGGGATCCAGTAAAGGTAGAAGCAACAGGTAATTGGGAGAAATTAAACAAAGATGCTCAAAGAGAAATGAAAAGGCAAGAGTAGATTCAAAGGATACTCAGAATAAAATTAGTATTCATGAGTTGCTCCATACTGGGCTGGCTGAGAGATCTGGACTGACACTGTGTGCTGAGCAGCGGAGGATTTCATTGCAAAAAACTGAAATAACAATGCCAGGAAAATAAGCAGTTTCAGGTAATAAAAATAAAACTGATTTTGAGGAACCAGCAGGGTAACCAGGTGGAGAAATATTTTAGGCACCTGGAAATGCAGCACAATAGTTTACAGACATTTGGGAGCCACCTGGTAAAAGTTAGAAAGTTGGGGAAGAGGATAGACAGCCAGAGACACAAAACACAGTCACAAGATGTCACTGGGGGCTTACTTGCCCTCAGCTAGGAGAGGAAGAGGAAGAGGAGAGGTCACACAGAGAGAATAATTATCTAGAAAAATGCACCTTTCAAAATAAAAATCAGAGTTTCAAAAGGAAAGAGAGTAAAATAGAGTTAGAGAATTTGAGGTGGAGAAAAGCCGCTTGGATCCGCTGATACGTGCAGAGGTCCAAGCGTTGATGAGTTGAAGCCAGATCAACTGACATTTCAGAGGAAAGGTATGAGGAGCGTGAAGACGCTGCATGTTTCCAAGTCATGTTTGGTGTGAGAACCAGGGGTACTGGTGGGCATGACTCCTGGGATTACTGCCATTTGGCTTTAATGAGCTCAAGATAGCCTCCTTTCTACTCCCAGTGGTCAAATAACTTTCACTGAAACAACAGGGCAAGGAGAACTATCGGTTTGGAACCTGGAATCTGAAACCTAATTCATGAACATTTCCTGCCTATGTGCTCTAGTAATTTTGCATGAAAATATAGGTGCCACAGCCGCATGGGGCAGTTAACTAGCTGTAACAACACCATGACCCCAATAGTCATTTTGAGTTCTAATTTGAATGCTAATTTTATCATCAACTAAATCTCGATATCTCTGGATCTTCTATTTCATTTGGTTTTGTAGCAAATCTGGTGGCATTTAATTAGGATTGCCTTAAATTTATAAATTAATTTAAAAAGAACTGGCATTTTTTACAATATCATATTCAGCTTACCACAAGTAAGGTTACTTAAACTTTCTTCTATCTCTCTCTGTGAAAGGTAATTATTTTTCTTGTAAGTTTTGAACCTATCCTTTTCAGTTATAATCTTTATCTCCTCCTTTTTAAGTTACTATTGTCAATGGTATTATTTCATATATTATGTCTTCACAGATGAGTAATTAGCATTTAAAGGAAACAGTTAAATACATTTGACCTTCATAGAGCTGATGTTATGCATGTAAAAAAAAAATTGTTTCGGATAATACTGTTGTAGAAAACAAAACAAAACAAGAATGCTGTTTGCTTTGCCTGATATTGCCAGTCCAATGCTTGCTTATGTAAGATGGGTTGTGACTATTTAGAGACAAAAATGTGCCATCAGTCCTGATGGCTGTTTTCCCCCTAATGTCACACAAAGCCTGAGACAAGATTCTGGCTGTTTCCATAGAAAAGCTGTGCTTCAGAGCCCTGCTGCTGGACTTCATGATTTCTTCCTGGCTCCTCTGTCTCCTCCGAAGGTGTCAGTGGGACAGGATGAAGGAAGCCCCAGCTGCAGCAATAAGCTCCCCCCAGCTCAATGCAAATCATACTCACAGCAGAGGCCTTTTCAGATGGTTTGATATAGCTGTGAGTCAGAAAGGGTTTAGATTTATTTTTGCCATTCACCCCAATCTCTTAAGATTTTCAGTTGAATAACTTACTTAACAAATCTTTTAGACATGGAATCAACCAACTTCTTTTGTAAATGGCCAGATAGAAGATTTTAGGCTTCACAGGCCTTCTGGTTTCTGTTGCAGCTCCTCAATTTGGTTATAGTGGTGTGAAAGCATCACAGACAATAAACAAATAAACCTGGCTATGTGCCAATAAAACTTTATTTACAGAACAAATGGTGGGTCAGATTTGGCCCATGGGCCTTCATTTTTAGATGCTTATTTTAGATCACCAAATTTTCACATTATTATTTGTTCCTTTTTAAATTAACAGCAATGTACTTGTCTCCACAGGATGAAAACCACTGAAACCAAGAAAATGAAGACAATTTGCCAAAACAACTTCCTATCAATCTCTTACAAAAGATTTGCAGCAGAATCACCATTTATTTGGCTTATGAAGTATCTATGTTATAGGGTTGGACCCTATAACAAACACATATGTGATGCTGTAGTTTGGTGACTGCTTTGGGAAGAAAAAGTGAAATACAAAGCTATCATTAGTGATGTATTAGCTCCAACTTACCAGTCTTGTACAGCATTGAAGGATTCTTCATTTGTGATATCATACATTAAAATGAAGCCCATAGCGCCACGATAATAGGCTGTGGTGATAGTTCTGTATCTTTCCTGGCCTGCTGTGTCCTAAAAAAGAGTGATGATAATCTCTCAGAAATAAGGCAATACAGTTTTTGAGGTGATTAGTAATACACAAAACAGTCACAACACAAATTCTAAAATGCATGTGCAATGTATACCTATCTTTTCATGTCGTTATTCCTAACAATTTTTATATGACAGCTTTAAAATATTCTGAAAAATTGGTGTTCTCTTGACACACATGCAGCTCAAAGTAGCCTTTTCAAATCTCAGTTCCATTAATCAGCATCTAATTATGAAAATGAAAGGGAAGAGTATCTGCCTGTCTATCATATTCATATATATATGAATATATGAAAGAAAACTGTATTAGCTCCATCATTATGCATTTGTGGTCTGTCAGCTATTATAAACTACTGGGAGAAAAAGAAATTTTATGAAAATATCTGTACTTTTAAAGAGCTTCCAGTTCAATCTCAGCTTATTCAACCATAACATGAGAATAAGAACACCTGCTTGTGTTGATGTCTCAATCAGATGACTGGGTCTGAGTTTAAATTCCTGCCCTTTCCTTTGCTGGGGGAATGTGAACCAGTTGCCAAACCTCTCTGAACTTTAATATTCCTCCTGTAGGAAATAACTCATGTGCAATGCTTCACATACAGTGCAGCAAGCAAAGAGTACTCTATAAATGACAAGTACAGACTACTGCTCCTATCACCTGGGGAGCCTGGCTAACCCATAATGGGAGACAGCAGCTTACAAACACATGGATTTCATGTCTCTGTAGATAGTGTGTAATGGTTAAACCTGGGAATCAGAGACAGATATGACTACCTAAATGGCCCTTGTAGATGGAACATGTATTGGAGCTAAAAAATTGTTTCCTAATTCAACCAACTCTCACCCCATTCTCTATCTGTAGTATCATTTATTACCCAAAAGCTTCTCAGTTGTCCTCCTCTGCTACTTTTCCCTGGAGGATGGGGTCCAAATTGTCTTTCCTAGAACTCTGTAGGTGCTTAGTATTTTGGACAAAATATTATCTTTTCTCTGACTTCAGTCTAGGTCCCCTTTATCTCATTACTCCTGAGATGCTTGCTCTGAACGCAGAGTGCATACCAGCTCCCGCTAAGATTCACTGGCCTCGAAGGGACAGCTAATGTATTGGACGACACTGAAGAGCTCCATTTACACTAACAAATGAAATCAGTCATGCAGGGAGCCACTACTGGGGCAGGATTGAGGGTCCTCATTCTGCTTGGATGCTTACACAGCACAGTGGAAACTGTTTAAAACTACCTCCTACTTTGTGTGTCACATTTCTCTTCACACCTTCCGTTTAGAGAGATATCACCAAAGATGGTTGGGGATCAGTGAATGATTCTGGGAGAATATAAAATGAAATTAGCCAAGGATGTGACTTTTTATAAAGCCAATGAGGGGAAAACAAGGTTTAAAAGAAAAGATGAACACACATTATAGTCCTGAAATGATCAGAAAATAAGACAAAACCAGTAGGGAATGATGTTTCAAAACATACTTCCAAAAGAAGAAAACAAAAAACAAGATATAGATTTTAGTCTATGAAAATTTGACAATATCTTAAATATGGAAGAAGTGTATAGGTAAAGCTGAAATGATAGGAAACCAAGTGACAAACTCGGAAACATGTTTACACTGGACTACAGAAAACAAATATCAATACCTTTAACACATATAATGGTATTAGAAATCATTCGTAAAATGTTAAATGTTCTAAGGGTAAAAATTATTTAGAAACTGGTACATGAAAGGCTAATTAGTAAAACGAATTGAATCACGACAATAATAACACAAATACAAAAGGTCCTGATTACAATATAATATTTAGTGCCAGGTGTTATTTGAACATTTTATTGTAATATGGTTAATATTTTACAAATATTAAAAAATGAAAATGTGGATGCTTAGGGATATCATAAACTGTGTATAATTGGGACAAATTCACAAATTCATTAGGCATGAAGCAGGCAATATTGAATTTATCTGATATTTGTAGAGAGTCACTGAAATGAATATCTATCTATCTATCTATCTATCTATCTATCTATCTATCTATCGAGAGATCAAAATGCAGAATCAAATGCCCAAAGACTGTTTTGGGTGGCTTGTAGCTCAGTGGTGTAGCAGGCAAAAGGCCCTAGATTAGATTCTGAGCACCACCAACACCATCACCACAACAAAGAGCATTAGAAGGCTATGTTTTAAAAAAGCAAAATGTAATCAAATTTTGTAATACTATATATTTGCTCTTTGGCTAGCAGAACACTTAATGAGTAGGAATTTTTTCATATTGGGTTTCGCTTTATATTTTCTAGAACATATTATCTGTAAATATAAATTACATTGCGTGTGTATGACTATTACAAAGAAAATTTAAATATCTTTTTTCATGCCAAAATATCTTCCTGGCACTGACTGAGTGGATTTGTACAGGCTGGGGGACTCCATGCCTGCTGCTTTCCTGTGCACAGCTTTCCTCTAATTTCTAAGTTAGAGGAGAAGAGGGAAAAAAACACTGCAGACCCCGCGACATGGTAACCCAGACTCTCCCTGTCAAGCACATTGTTCCACGCAGACATTGTAAGTGTTTTGTGGGAAACAGTGGCTTTATCTTTCTTCTTGACCCTTTCCACTGATGGTGTCCCTTTTCATTAGATGTTAATTTTATTGTGACAGTGCAGAAACTAGTTTCAGTATTATAAAATGCATCAATTTCACATTGTGGGTGTATTTAATCTTTGAGACAGCAGAAATCAAAGGTCCTTTATATTGTGGTTGAAATGTTACAAGAAGCTGCTAGAAACTACAGAACTGGATAGCAACTATATAACAAGAGAGAGCAACAGAGAAAGGGAGAGAGAGAGAGAAATAGCTTTTGAAAGAAAAGCTTTCAAATAGTACTTAGTACTTAGGTCACAGCAAGGGGTCAGATCTTCAACATCATTCTGATTTGAACCCAGAATCTAATTAGAATTGTTCATCACCTGAAATCTCTCAGGGAGAATAAGAAATTGCACCAAGTCAAAGTGCCATGAGGAATACAAAGAAGAAAATACCTCTTAGACGGAAAGAAAATGTAAAGAATAAAAATCATTTAATAGGTAGATACCATGTTGAAAACTGAAAACAATTTCTGAATTGCAAACTCATTAGCATCTTCTTCCATAATATCTGGAAGAAAATAAGTCAGAAAAACACTTCATTACATCTGACATTTACTAATCATAGCAGGTTATGTTTGAAAGAAAAGAACATTTCATAATGTCAAGTGCCACTAACATAATTAAATGTGAACGGTCTCAGAAGATAACTGATTAAATTGGTGCCTCTTTGCACCACGTGTAGAAAGCTGGTCCCAAAAGCTGGCTTGGTGTTGTTCTGCTCTTTAGCTGGCTCCAATCACAGAAAATACCTGCTGATTTTCAATAAATGTAGATTTCTTGTGATTGAAAAACACAACTTGAAATCTCTTACAGGGAAAATGTAGGATAGAAAAGCAAGTAGAAGATAGAAATTTTATCCTCTGAGCAATAGCTTTCTTTTTTGTCCTTTTTGTCCTTTTTTGCCCTTTCTTTTTTGTCCAGAAAATCACTTTAGTTTAAATATTTTGATATCCCACTGATGTTTCCAGAAAAAAAAACCTTTTTTTTTTTTTTTGTTTTGTTTTAGTGGTAGGTTTGACTAGCAAATCCTTGAATATCTGTCAGGAAAAGAATTGTAAAATGAGAAACATTACAAGCTTGACAAACAGTAGCTAAGAACTTTTTAGTTAGAATTTTGGCACTTCTGTATTTGTTTTTGCTTTTAAAATTTTTCCCTAATGAAACATTTTAACTGTATGTGCAGCATTCTCTAATTATGTAAAATTAGATTTTTAAGATTGATGGGATGGCTTTCATTTGTAAAAAGGTATGCATTGTATTGTAATTTGCTTCTTTTGGATGGTTAATTCTTTCTATATTGAATTAAAGGGAAAATTTAATGAATCATTTGTAAAGAAAAATAATAGCACTACATCAAAATACATTTATTGACTGTCTACACAGAGAATAATAGGTTGAAAGGCAAAAAGCCTGGTATATGATAAAGTAGGTAATTTTATAGTTGGGAAAGTCAAATAAAAGACACATTGGTGTTAACTGATCAACAAAAGTAATTTAATTAAGCTAAAGGAAATAGTGCATAATAACCCAAAGAGGAAAAGTGGCAGGGGCCAGAAATGCTGTGATCCACGACAAAATACTTTTATAGGTGAATTTCCAAAAGGACACAAACATGGTAAGTGGAATATCATTCATATAAGCAATAACTATTATATACCATGGTACATTGCTGGTGCTCACCTTAAAGGAATTGTTTAGAAACACCAAAATATTAAGTTATGGTTAAGTCAAATGGTTTAACATTAACTGTCATGAAATAATTCAACAAACCTCTGGTAAACAGAGACCATGGCACATAACAAATTTATTTTATGTATCCAAGCATATTTTGTGTATTCTTTTTTTTTTTTTTTTTTTTTTTTGTCTTTTATCAGTACCAGGGATCGAACTTTCAACTGCCTGCTTGCAAGGCAAGCGCTTATGCCGCTGAGCTAAATCCCCAGCCCGTATATTTTGTGTATTCTAAAAGCCTATTCTTCAAGAATTTTATTAGTTAGAATACCTTTTTTTTTTAAATACCAGGGATTGAACTCACAACCTTGAGCTTGCCAGGCAGGTGCTTACACCACTGAGGTAAATCCCCAGCCCCCAAAGAGATATAATGATGTTCTCATCTCAAAACCTGTGAACTTATTTGGAAAAAGGGTCTCTGGAGTTGCGGTCATGTTAAAGTGAGATCACATCAGGTGGAGATGCCCTAGTCATTTATCTAGTGTCTTATGCAGGAGAAAGCACAGGCACACAACACACAGAGAAGGCCGAGTAAAGGTAGAGGCAGGCATTAGAGTAATGCACCCACAAGTGAGGAACATCCAGGACTAAGCAACCACCAGAAGC